GGTCGCTGAGCTCTGTGAGCGCATCGTACATCAGTCCCAGATTGCTGACAAACGTTGCAGATGTGAGCACATCATCCAGGCCCTTGTACTTTGCTCTGTCTCTGGAATCCCTGCTCGTGTCGTTTGCAGCATTTGTGAAGTGATCATGAAGCACTCGGTAGTTTTCCCAGACTGCTCTGACGCTCCTTTCACTTGAAGCCACCCAGCGGATGGACAAAACACGCCCTATCACCAGGAGACGCTGTCCGACTGCTTGCGCACACTGCGCTAACTGCCTCTGATTTTTGGGGGAGGCATGGAACAAGGAATAGAGTTTGTCAAAAAAGATCTGGAAATGATTGAGCCCTGAGACCTCCTTGACCACATCCCCAACTGCCAGCTCTAGACGATGATTGGAGCAGTGCCACACAAACAGGCTTGGGAATTTACTACACAACTGGGTAGCAACGCCTGTTCTCTTCCCTAGCATGACTGAAGCCCCATCACATGCAAAAGAAACGAAACACTGACCTAAAAAGTCCTCGTTAAAATCTCTTCCAAGACACTCCATTAACGCCTTTGTGATGTCATCAGCCGTTGTTCCATCCAACTCGATCAGCTCCCAAAAAAACGTTTCGGGCTCAGCATCAGCTAATGCTGAGCGTAGACACACAACAAGCACCGTTTTACCACTAATAGTGGTAGATTCATCGACCAAAACACAGAGTTTTCTTTGGTTTTCTGTAATGTCTTTTGCCATTTTTTTCTTCAGCTCATGAGCTATGTGGTCGATGATTTCGCCACAGGTTTTATTGGAGTGCAAAACCCTGCCCACGTTCAGCCCATTCAGTTTCTGTACATTCAAATCAATTGGCATGTCTGTGAATGGCCGGCTATGTTTGCCAATTTTATATGCCGTTCGAAAAACTCTGATAGTGGTGTCTAATTCAGATTTATGCATAGACTGCACTTGATGTTGAATAGTTTCACGTGAAGCAGATGTAAGGATGTCAGCAGCTTTTACATGGGCTTGTGATTCTTTATGTTCTTTGATTTTTTTTCTCAGGCTACCTTGTTGTTTGCCCTTGTCAACACCGAAATGAGACACTGCACACTCACCCCATTCAGTTGACAGTTTCAGTCCTTGTCCAGTGTGTATTCCCAAAGATTTGACATCTCTGCATATCCGACATCCTAGCTTCTTATCTTTAAGAAGGAGCCATGCATTGGTCTTGCAAAAATATTGCACCTGGTCCGTTGTCCTGCAGTCAGGTGCATCGCTTTGCCCGGTGTTGGTGGTGGCAGTTGCGCCAGCAGCAGCTAACGTTAGAGGCTCTGGAGGAGTCGGCGGAGCTAGTGCTAATGCTAATGCACTAGAACTTGGAGCAGGAGGATCAACCAAAGAAAGCTCCCCATCAGACACAATTTCCAACACAGGCACAGCATTCTCTGTATTTGAAGTTTCTTCCGGCGACAACCGCTGTCTTTTTGCACTTTTTTATTAATCCACGCTAACATTTTAGAAATGCTAATTTGTGACGTGACTTGCTTTCCTTCTCTCGGGGGCGTGCCTGCTCTGTTCTATCACTCTACATAGCCACCCACTGGGTGGGAGTTGCACTGCATAAACACAACACACGTGCATCTAGGTATGTAAATTGTAAAGCATTAAAACATGGTTTTACTAACAGTTTTCAGTATGTTGTTACTTCGGCATTATTATTATTATTATTATTATTTTGAAACGTGTATTACTATTAAATCACGGTCAAATAGGTTAATTTTGACATAGTCGTTTCCACCACAGTATTTACATGGAGAAGATAAGCCCCGCCCCCTCTCCAGCACGTTCTGTTTGAATGACAGGAGTAAACAGCTGACAGCCGCTGTGAAACTCCAGCGGTTAGAGCGATGAGAATGTCCGTTCGGCACCTCATGACGCATCTACTGAGTACCGGGCGCCTGTATATATATATATATATATATATGGATGTATAATAAGAACGGCGGGAGAGTGTTGAGTACTGGCACGGTGCATGAGTACCGGCACGGTGCATGAGTACCGGAGTACCGCCAGCATGCCGGTACTGAGCAAGAAGTGCCGGTACTCCATGGGTCAGAACCAGAAGTGCCGGTACTGCGTACCGGTGAGTACCGGCCCAATTCCAGCACTGAAATAGACCTAGAACACATTTCTGACAAGTAACCCCCCCTAGTGTCAAATATCTGAAATGTAACATATGTGTCACATTGGGCTTTAATGGTAAAGTAACTCTTATTTATAACTTCATGAATGAGGATGATTTTTTGGTTTCCATTTGTTTGAACATACTTTAAATTGAATAATAAAGAATATGTTAACTAAATATAATTGAATCAGCTAAATTAACTGAGCAGATCATAATCATATTTGTAATTGTGCATATATGTCACTCCGGGTTTACTGTGAATGTTTAGGGTTAATGTCCCGATGTGACATCAGTGTCACAGCAATATTTATGGCATTTGTTTCATATCAATTTCATCAATAAATGTTTCTACAACAGGTTATATGTAATCAGAATCAGAAAAGAGCCGAAGACAGCTTAATGTTTAACAAATGGCATGTCATGTAAGCATTTTTATTCTTAAATGGCTTGAATGTTAACTTTAGCAACAAAAAACCTTTCCAAATGTAGCTAGTTCTGTCACATGTGTTAGCCTGGCACATGGACATCTTGGACATGTTGTTATGGGAACACAAAAGCAAATGACAAGGACCATAACCCACCAGACTGTTCAGTGTGTGTCACTTAGGGACTTCATGAGATAAAAAAGGCTAAAGCTGTATAAGGAACTTTCCAGAACATTTAAAGTTCATGTGACACCTGTGTCTAAGCAATTCTGTCTGCCTTCCGTGTTGCACCATGAGGACCCACTGCCATAAAATGTTTAACTGTCTAAGTTGCAACCATGCACTTTTTGGAGGGCTAAGCGCTAGCTTGACATATTTTTGGCTTCATTTATAGAAGGAAAGACAACAGTGATAGTTATGTTTCAGAATAACATTTATTGGAAATTGTTAGAACAATCTCACTGGTCACCGGCTTGAGCTTCAATCTCAGGATCCATGTATTTGTGATCAAAAGTAGGCTAATATAAAAGTAGTGTAGATCATTACATTTCAGAGACAGTAATATTGTAATGTAACGTAGCCTATTACTTAAAAAAGACAGTAATAAGTAATGTACTGTATTACATTTTGGAAGTAACTCGCCCAACACTGCAGATGATCCAGTCATCTCGATGCTGCTTTCGGGCTGTGAATAAACAACTTGTGTTTTACTTTTAGGCTGTCTGAAGGTATGGACAGCTATCAAAGCTACTATACATCACATTAAGAACGATGTACAAATGTTTTATATGTATTCAACTTGTGCCCCGCTGGACTTACGTTTCTGTAGTTTACCGTTACTGTGACATCAGTATAGCCACGGAAGATAGTTTGTGTGATTCATTCCCATGCATCAAGGTTATTTTCATGTATGTAATTGTTTTTCCTGCACAGTGTAGAGTCTTGTTGTGATGAGAGGGATACAGGTATTTCATAAAAAAAACGGGCTCCCTGGAGAATAGCTACAGCATTTATATCACAATTTAATCGGAGCTGATCACAACTTGTCATGAGTGATCGAGTCATGTCGATGAGCGTTCGGGCTGTGAATAAACAACTTGTGTTTTACTTTTAGGCTGTCTGAAGGTATGGACAGCTATCAAAGCTACTATAGATCACATTAATAACAATGTACAAATGAAAGTCGGACACAAATATATAATTTAAATGATTTATTCAAGTTTGCAATATTTTGAACAGGCATCCACACAGTCACCTACTTTGTAATGTTCGATACCTCCCTGTAAGCGTCACGATATCCACCTCTCACCCACAACCTCACATACGAGTACTGAATGTGCATCAAAGTGATCTTAGGAAGGCAGATATAGCAAAAGATGAACGTAAACGACAAACGAGGCGATCGACATGGTAAGTCAACAATGGTCCTCAATGTACACGCCCCGGATTCCTATGACGAAAATAATAGAATGTCGCCAGTTGTCATGACTCACGTTATACTGCAACACCGGCTTTCACCGACTGGCGGGTGATGACTTCATTCGCCACGACGCCTACTGCGGCCCCCTTCCGACCGCCCGTTCCATGGCCCGGTCCTCACCTGCGGCCCCACCCTCCTCGGCCCCTGTGGTGCTTCCTCCACGGACGCGATGATTTTTTTTCTCATGTTTGAATTCTGGGGGGGCTTGTGTGGTGACCACCTATTAATACACTGGGACATAATTCATACATGGAACTACAGTTGGGGCTATTGTTTCCACACGGACATATATGTGTTGTTATCTATGTTGTGTGCCCTCCTGGCTCTTTCTCTTGTCGTCCCGGGCTGCGACCCAACAACATCTACATTTCTGCTACTCATTAAAGCAAGCTTTGTACCTCCATTGCACCGCCTCCGACTCCCTATCTCTCGGCACTACAAGGGTCGCGTTAGAAAACAATTCACTCACAGATCCATAATCATGAAGGTGGAATCTAACTATATCGATAATAAAAATGTATGGAGCCAGGGGTAGAAACATGTTTTTTTCTGCTGTAAAATTGGGCATTTTAACATGGGGGTCTATGGAAATTGCTCCTTTCTGCAGCCATCGCCTATCGGCCAATAAATGAACTGCAGTGTGTGGCACTTCCGTATTGGCTTCCCGGCTCTACCCCACAGTTTGCCGCTTGACATGATGACAATAAATACTAGTGGGAATAGTCACCGTCTGAACCGTGGTTTAAAACTAAGGCAGCTCTCTGTTTTCAATTTCCCCATTGGTTTAATTTCCCGGGAAAATCTTATGATAATGAGTTCTCTCTGCGCCAATCCCGATGCTGCATCCACACTTGGGCCCGCCTTCGATGACGATAAATGAGAGGAAACTGTACAATACCATAAAAGGAAAATACTCCCGCATGCGCAGTGGCTCTAGTTTTGTTTGAAGTGAACTGCTGTCTGGGACTGCCCTACAAGCTGCAAAGTCGCCAAGCATTTGATTTTAACAGTATATTCTTCACAATTCCTCCTTAATCTTTTAGTGCCTATATGCATCGTCGAGACGATGTTGGGCCATCATTATCAAAATGCCGACAAGTCGCAACAACTGGTCAACTATGTGGAGGATTATCTGGAATGTGTGGAGTCCCTGCCTTTGGACATACAAAGAAATGTTTCTCTGCTCCGGGAAATTGATGCAAAGTATCAAGGTATTGTGATTATATGTGTCTATCCATCATCACATGTTCGTGTATACATTTGGTCAACATTAACTGCAATCCGAGAGCTTGTGTTGAAATGGTGGAGCAGGCGCGAGCCGAATGTTCCCTTTTTGCAAAAATCGAGTACCCCTTGTTCGTGTCTGACGATACTGCGAAACACAGTAATATGCCCAGTGGAAATAAGGATAACACATTGACGAGCCAATTGTAAATTAAAACGAGTCAGCCAGCCGTCAGTTAGCATATCCCGGATACTCTTCGTGTTGTTTTGTGTGACACCAAACTCAATGAGAAAATTGTTAAATTTGATATTTTCTCCTCTCAGTAAAGGTGTACATGCAATGTGACTTAGTACGAGATCTGTAATGAATAATTGGGGTCCAATAGCAAATTCGGCAATAATATAATCCAAAAACTAGCACTGTGAAGTAATACAATCTCAACTTTTTCAGTAGGTATACACTGCCGCCCACCACGGTGTTTCCGCGGATGATTATTATGTGAAAGCAGGCTAAACAATTAATAAACCCGGTCATTTAGGAATGAAACGCTGCTTGGTGTGTTTAATGTGCGCCGAAGCCCAGAGTGGAGATGAGCGGAAGATAATAAACTGTGTTCATTCAGGTGTGAACTCCTGCTCCGTGGTGAGCATACACTGCCGTTTTTTAAATGTACCAACAACCATTGGATGCTGTTTGTTGATGCGGCGGCAAACACGCAGCCTTGTATCGCTAATTTCCTCGACATTATCGACAGATAGTAACAAACACCGATAGAAACATCGAGGCATTACATTTGGATTGTTTTTTAGTGAGTGTACATATGCTCAGAGCTCGTAGTGTTTCCACTGCTCCGTCCGTCGAGTGAGAGTCTCTCAGCCGGAGAGCTTCTCTTCTAGGCAACCCCTCTAAACATCGGTCTGCGTCACTTCCTGTGGGCGGGACTCACTGCAGCTCAGCCCTCTTCCTCCTTTCAGGAAAAAGTCTTCCTCAATGTAACATTTAAAAAGTCCTATAATTTGTCCAGTTGCTACCATAAATCCAAATAGCCATGTCCTCCCCTCCACATAGTCTCTCAACTCTAATATACTCGATACAGTGGCCTCACCTTTTTGTCAATAATCGTGTTATCATGACTTTTTGTTCTTCTTTTTGTTCTTCATGCTTCCAGAATATGTCCTCCTTTTCATGAGACTAATCAAATAATATGTTGAATATTTCTCCAACATGAAATGTGTATTATTAATGTTGCTGTGTCCAAATCTCAGTCTGATACTATCCTGTTAGTTGCCCTTATCTTTACCTCTTTCTTTTTTGTTCTGCAGACACTGTAGCATCTGTTTGTGGATCCTTTCATCCATCAGAAAGAATCTGTAAATAGTCAATATATTCCTCCTCCTCTAGGGTCAGCTGCTTCATATGTGCAACTTAATTTCACCTCAACAAAAGTTTGCATTGTAAGCAGAAAACATGCAGCACGATTTAAAGAAATATACTCACGTGGCTGATATAGGCCTACTTGTTATAAAGCGGGACATTTTACAGTAGGAAAGGGGAAAGAAACGAGACAATGCTCTGGTCGGCTAAATGGAGATACTGTATCTTAATGACCCAGTCAATATCTTTGACATTTCATTATTGAAATGTTTAATCAGAGTACACTGATATATCTGTGTTAAGCTCAAATTGGCCGATATCCTCATAACCCAAGATTGTTTTTTAGAGCTATACAAACATCTAATCACTCTACTTTTACACCCTCATTGTCATCCACACATTTTTCAGTTTTCAGTCATTGTGACCAGAAGCTTCAAGTTTCCAAACTAAAATGCGTTCAGTATGTCCTCTCTGTATTCTGTCATTAATCATGAAACTCTTTGTCTTTATGCCCTTCTCTAGAGGTCCTCAGGGAGGTGGATGAAGTGTTTGAGAAGTACAAACGTGAGCAGGATGGCGCTCAGAGGAAGCGGCTGCAGGTCCAGCTGCAGCGAGCGCTCATCAGCAGCCAGGAGCTGGGCGATGAGAAGATCCACGTGGTGACCCAGATGACGGAGCTGGTGGAGAACCGCTCCCGCCAGATGGACTCCCACTCCCTCTGCCTGCAGGAGCCCAGCGAGGTGGAGCGGCTCCCCACAGAGCGCCGTACCAGCATACAAGAGCTGCCGGCCCCTGAACGCACCTCGGCACGCCGCCCTCGACGCCAGCGCAACAGCGAGAGCCGGGACTCCAGCCACCCGTCAGCCAACGGCTCTCTGGTGGACGACCAGGTGGAGGAGCTGTCCATCCCCCCGCCACGAGAGAAGAAGTCCAAGTCTGCCAAGAAGAAAAAGCGCAAGTCCAAACAGGAGCGAGACGCGTCCCCGGTGGACTTCGCCATCGACCCCAACGAGCCCACCTACTGCCTCTGTGAGCAGGTGTCATACGGGGAGATGATCGGCTGCGACAACGACCAGTGCCCCATCGAGTGGTTCCACTTCTCCTGCGTGGGCCTGACCTACAAGCCCAAGGGCAAGTGGTACTGCCCCAAGTGCAGAGGGGACAACGAAAAGACCATGGACAAAAGCCTAGACAAAAACAGAAAAGACCGCAGGTCCAGGTAGTGACCCCCCCCCCCCCCCCCCCCCCCATTCCTCTGGAAGATGTGTTAAGCCTGAGGACTATCAGCCGTAGTTGGTAACCGTACTCGTGATGTTGTAAGAGCACAATCCAACACCACTAGCAGCGGCGCTTATTAATCAAGGACACGTTGTGATGAGCTGGTGCTGATTGGTCCGCTGGCTCTGACTGTACTGCAGTCTGTAGACAACCTGAAGCTGCCATCTTCCTCACCTGTGGTTTTGTGAGACTTTGACTCTCAAGAAAGAAATGAAAGCATGTTTTGGTTCACTATCACATTTCATTGTGGACGAGGTCCTCATTAAAAATAAGGTGTGCCTGTTAATGATCATCATTTATGGCCAAACAAACTATTCTTTTTTTTAATTTTAATTTCCCTATTTGCAAGCAATTATTTGAAATCAGTGTCTGTCTCTATACAATAATCACCGGTAGAGGATAACTTACACATGTTATATGTTTATAAGAGATTGATATTTAAGTGAGGAGATGATTGTTGATGGGACACTGGAATAGGACGTCATATTGTTTTCACTGGTTCACTATCACTATTGTGTAAATGTCTTTTTATATTCATTAAAACAAAGTATAGTCATGCTGTTACTATTCAGTTTTCTCCTGTCCTTCATCATGAAGCACAGCCTGACATGCTGGCATGAGAGTGGAAATGTTACCATGTTAATGTTTAGTCTCCACTGCATGTATTTAATACTTTAGTTACTTTACAGATGTGGATGAATGATGTGAAATATAATCAAGTGTTAAATCAGACTTTAGTTCCACCTGGAGTAAATCCACCAGCTACCCTGCAGTATACAAAGTCATTCAAACTAGCTGCACCTTTACCAGCTTTGAGAACACTTTCATGATCAATCATTATAAAACATATCATATATATTATTCTGAAATGGACCAATCTGCACAACGACTACTTTTACTGTCGCTACTTTCACTATATTTTGATGAATACTTTTCTACTTCCACTTGAGTATTGAATGCAGGACTTTTACTTGTATTCCCACACTCTGGTACTTCTACTTTTGCTTAAGTATAACATCTGAGTTCTTCAGTCACCTCTTCTAGTTCTTCTAGTCTCACTGCATAATGTTGAAGAACTCTAACCAGATGTATTATACCATAGGGTCCTTAAACATATGACATGTTTCAGTGTTATGTAAATATTTGAAGTGCTGCTCCTAACCTTTTTTAAAAAGCTTTAATAAGCACCGACATGTTTCTTACAAATGTAATTACTGCCAAAAGCCTCTTACTAACTTGACATAGTTTCACTTAGATTTTAACATACTCTGATTCAGAGGCTAAAAATGTTCAAACTGTCTGTGAACCAAGGGGACTTTTTGGTGGACACTTTCAAAAGTCAAGAGATGGTTGTCACGCTTTTTGTCTCAGCACTGAACACTCACTGCATCTTTGTGAGGGGGCTTTGGAATTTTGGCTTAACGCATATTCATTTGTCAAATACAAATAGCAATTTTTTGATATTTGCCAACTATATCACATAATTAATCGATATCAAATTCTTCAATTTTTTTTATAGCTACACAATTCCAAAACATCTTTATCTCACCCTGTCCCTATTGTTTAGCTAGCTATCAGGATGGCAATTTTAACTGAGAATGGATGAAATGCACATTTTACCAGTGGTGGAAGAAGTACTATACCGTAGTAAGAGCAGCAGTACTCTGTTGCAAGTTAAAGTCCAAAAATATTGGCATCACAATATCTTTAAGTACCAAGAGTAAAATAATTCTTTATGATGAATTGCCAATTTCAGAATCATATATATATATTTAATTACTGGATCATGATAATTGATATAATCACGTGTTCATCAAATGTGGAATGGTGGAGCTAATCTATATTACTTTGCTGCTGTGGGATATTTTGACCTATCATTTGATGTCATATATCATTTTGTAGTTGATTTATATTGTGTATTAGCTAATAATATGAATCTGTAAAGTAACTCCAGCTGAAAAATCTAGTGGAGTAAAATGTACACCATTGGCTTCTAAAATGTAGTGGAGTAGAAGTATAAAGTAGCATACAATGAAAATACTGCAGTTTACCAAAGAGATTACTCACTTATTTAATAAGTATAGTTACTTTTTTTTCTTCAAGGTTGTGTCTTCCTGGTCGAATGTACTTATTGTAAGTCAGCTAAATGTAATGTAATGTAATGTACTAATTTCAACAGTATTAGTACCAATCAGAATATAGACTGAATGGAAAAAGGATAAGCCTTCTGGTAAACTTCTTTGCTCAGCTACAAAATGTCACATGCTAGATCAGAAGGGAAGTGGTCATACTTTAAGGTGATCACATGACTCACATGCTGTTACAACCATTCCTTTGTTACAACAATCCCAGGTCCCATATCTAAAGCTCCTGCTAATATATTGACGGTGCCTGGATATCATTGTTGTAGATGAGATAGAAGTTTGCAGGTCAGGTGACATCCACTGGCCCAAAAATACCTTGGTATCGTTATGAAGAAAGAACTATGAAATGCAGAATGTTCATGCGTCCCCCTCCTCTTCCTCGCTGCTGCTGCTGGACTCTCCGAACAGGTCTTCATCATGAGAGACAGCTGATCTGGCAGTCCTGGATGTGACCCTGACGCTGAGGAGGGCCGGGCTGTGGCTGAGGCCCAGCAGGATGCTAGTCTGGTGTCCAGGAATGAGCCTGATACAGCGGCCGGTGCATCCAGAGAGAGCACCGACAGGATGCTGCCGACCTGCAGGTCCCACAGGCTCAGCTGTCCTGTTGTTAAAGCATCAGAAAATAGGCTGAATTATTAGCATCACATTTTTGAGGTGATATGTTAAAATGTTATAGTGTCGATTTTATAGTGACTAGCTCCCTAAACCCCCTAATGCCAAAATGATTGACTGTATACATGTTTCAAATACAAAACTTAAAAGCCAGCGTTAAATATTTTCAGCCTCACACAAAAAAAATGTTTTGTCTCTGTAGCTAATCCCTGTTCCTAACAACTGTACATGGGTTTAAAGAGTCCTCTCTTGCTGATGTTCAGGTGTATATCAGTATGTAGTGTCTCTACTTTAAAGAGTCCTCTCCTGCTGATGTTCAGGTGTATATCAGTATGTAGTGTCTCTACTTTAAAGAGTCCTCTCCTGCTGATGTTCAGGTGTATATCAGTATGTAGTGTCTCTACTTTAAAGAGTCCTCTCCTGATGATGTTCAGGTGTATATCAGTATGTAGTGTCTCTACTTTAAAGAGTCCTCTCCTACTGATGTTCAGGTGTCTATCAGTATGTAGTGTCTCTACTTTAAAGAGTCCTCTCCTGCTGATGTTCAGGTGTATATCAGTCTGTAGTGTCTCTACTTTAAAGAGTCCTCTCCTGCTGATGTTCAGGTGTATATCAGTATGTAGTGTCTCTTCTTTAAAGAGTCCTCTCCTGCTGATGTTCAGGTGTATATCAGTATGTAGTGTCTCTACTTTAAAGAGTCCTCTCCTGCTGATGTCCAGGTGTATATCAGTATGTAGAGTCTCTACTTTAAAGAGTCCTCTCCTGCTGATGTTCAGGTGTATATCAGTATGTAGTGTCTCTACTTTAAAGAGTCCTCTCTTGCTGATGTTCAGGTGTATATCAGTATGTAGTGTCTCTACTTTAAAGAGTCCTCTCCTGCTGATGTTCAGGTGTATATCAGTATGTAGTGTCTCTACTTTAAAGAGTCCTCTCCTGCTGATGTTCAGGTGTATATCAGTATGTAGTGTCTCTACTTTAAAGAGTCCTCTCCTGCTGATGTTCAGGTGTATATCAGTATGTAGTGTCTCTACTTTAAAGAGTCCTCTCCTGCTGATGTTCAGGTGTATATCAGTATGTAGTGTCTCTACTGTAAAGAGTCCTCTCCTGCTGATGTTCAGGTGTTTCAGTATGTAGTGTCTCTACTTTAAAGAGTCCTCTCCTGCTGATGTTCAGGTGTATATCAGTATGTAGTGTCTCTACTTTAAAGAGTCCTCTCCTGATGATGTTCAGGTGTATATCAGTATGTAGTGTCTCTACTTTAAAGAGTCCTCTCCTGCTGATGTTCAGGTGTATATCAGTATGTAGTGTCTCTACTTTAAAGAGTCCTCTCCTGCTGATGTTCAGGTGTATATCAGTATGTAGTGTCTCTACTTTAAAGAGTCCTCTCCTGATGATGTTCAGGTGTATATCAGTATGTACATGTCTCCATGCTTTAATGTTCAAAAAGCTCTTTATTTTTCTCATACTGCTCCCATCCTCTGTCTGAAACCAGAGTCCAGTCTGCTCTGATTGGTTAGCTGGTAATCTGTAGTAATCTGTTGTGATTACTACACAAATGTTTAGAGCTGTCGTAATAACATTATAAAAGCATAATAGGGTCCCTTTACCAATTTCTAATCAGATCAGAAGTGTAGATAAATGTTGGCCAGAGCTCTCTTAATAAGAATCAGAGAAATTAATACTTTCTTTGTAACTATTGTTGCGACCTGGCTCAAAAGGCCACAACAAAAAGGAGACACAACATATCAACGGGTAGGTAAAGGTGTTTATTTGCACCACACTGTTCAAGTCAACTCATGGTTTATACTCATCAGAGCCGGGTGCCTGCAGGAAAAAACAGAGAGAGAACAGACAGGAGCAGAGAGGCTTTAAAATAGCTGCAGAGCACCAGACCCAGGTGCCCTGAGTTACTGCAATCAGTGCGATCAATGCAGCCAAGACAGGACAGCCACACCCTCTCCACTGATGAACCCACAGGGGCATCACACTATTTTTGTAATCCTTTTAGCTCTAAAGAGTCAGTTCACACAAATGGTCATACATTTAGAAGTCACTTGAGCTCTTACCATTCATCTTTGTTTTCAAATGTTGGTGAATTGACCTTTTAATTACATAAATACTTTATATATCAGTGTCTTTTAATCCAACTCATATCCACCTCACACTGCACTGATTTCACTTGCTTGAAAGTGTGAAAACATGCTGTAATATGACACCTTAATGTGAAAGAGCCTTGAGGAAACAGTTAGTTAGCACCATAGTGTGAAAACAAACACACACATCAGTCACATGACTGGAGACCTTATAAATACTTAATTCTTTTTATCTATAGGAGCTCTTATTATCAGCCCACCTGACAGCAGGATGGCTCTAGAAGGGTTAAGGTGAGGATAAATCATAATGGTAACCACACCTTGTGTTTGTATTATTGTATTATATACGAGCAAGAAAATGCCAAATTGTTAATATGCAAAATAATGTTTCATGCATCCCATGTTTCACAACTTTTTTCAGACTGCAGTATAGTGTATACTATAACCCTATTGATAGTAAGCAAGCAGGCAGTCAAGCAAACCAAGAAGGTTCCCAGTTGGAAAAACCTGCCTGCCCGCTTGCTTGCCTGCTTAGTTGCTTAGTTAACGATAGGGGAATAGTATATACTATACTGCATAGTCGTGGCCTAGTGGGTAAAGCGTCTACCTGGCGACCAATAGGTCATGAGTTCAAACCCACCTGGGAACACCACCACTAGTGTGTCCTTGAGCAAGGCACTTAACCCTAAATTGCTCCTGGGGGACTGCCCCTGGAATGTCAATGTAAGTCGCTTTGGATAAAAGCGTCTGCTAAATGAATGTAATGTACTGTAGTCTGGAAAAAGAGAGAGGGGATGAACCGTCAGCTAGTTTTATAATAATATATTTTTTTATATATCACACGTTATTTTTTTTAAACACATGCATACTTACAAAGTTTTTTGTTTTTTTATCCCCAAATTTGTTTTAAATAAACAATAATTATGTATTGTGAGTATGTAAGTTACAATACATAATTATTGTTTGTATTAAAAAACGTTGGGTATAAAAAACCCCAAAAACTTTCTACCAGGGAGAGGCAGGGAGGGCCGTGCCTTTGCGCCCTCTATTGGCCAGCCGCCACTGAAAACAACGTTGCTTTGGGTGTTCGTTTTATTGCGACGTTTTTATTGTTTAATTTGTTTTTATTTTACATTTTAAAATACCCCCTTTTTAAATGTTATTTAAACATCTTTAATGCGTTCTTAAAATCCTAAAAGTGGTTCTTGACATTTACACTTCAGATCTGATTACGAACTCGAAGATGGCGTATGCACCAATGACAGTAATTGGTGCCCCTTTTTCATTCACTGGTGAGAAAAATGGAGCGACCTTGCAGAAGCTGCGAGTGTGGGTCGAAGGCTGGCAGGTGAAGAGTGTGAAGGCCTGGCTTACAGATGGGACCAACAACGTTTTTGGTAATCCAGGTGGAAACTATCAAGAGTATGCATTCAACCCTGGTGAGTGTTTCACCTCTCTGTCGCTATGGGGGAATGGAGCAGGTACTCGTCTAGGGGCCATACAATTCAAGAAAAATCGCCCAGGAGAGTTCTTTGCCAAAATGTCCGACTGGGGATTGAAAACCAAATACCCCATGGATGTTGGCTCTGGATTCTGCCTCGGGGTTGTTGGAAAATGTGGCTCTGATATCGATAAAATGGGATTCGTGTTCCTCAATGCTGTCAAGTCCACCGTTTTGATGGACGTCAAATACCCAACAATGCACCAAGTTGTACCCCAGGTGACTGTAGAGGAAATCAAATCCATAACTTACTCAAACGACACCTCAGTCCCTCAAGAACACACGATTGAATCCTCCAAGAAGATTACAAAGAAGTCCTCATGGACTGTGACCAACAGTATGGAGGCAACCTTAAGTATGGAAGTGAGTGCAGGGATTCCAGAGGTAATGGAGGTTTCAACTGGATTCAGCTTTACCGTGGGAACAGAGAGCTCATACAGTCTGGAAAACACTGAAGAGAGAATGGAGACCATGATCTTTCCCATCCATGTTCCTGCAGGAAAGAAGGTGGAAGCTGAGTTTACCATTGGTCGAGCTACTACTGACCTGCCTTACACTGGCACAGTGAAAATAACCTGCCAGAATGATAGTGTGCTTCAGTATGAAACCAGTGGCGTTTACAAAGGGCTTACCTACACCTCAATAAAAGCAAATGTTAAAGAAATATAGATAAAATAACAGAAACAAATTTGACTCACCTCTTGTAGTCCTTACATCTCTCCTACTTTAAACTGCATGGCTACTCATTGTATACTCAGAACAGCACTTTTTGTAAAAGAGTATTCTACTTGCAGGTGAACTTATTCTTAAAAATAAACAAATAAAATCATTACAAATGGAGCTGTGCTTTTTTGTCCTTTTTGAGAGGTATGAACCTTTATTTTCGCATTAGAAGATTTATTTTTCTTATATTTTGTCTGGAACTTTACCTTGCCCTGCCATTGTTTTGAGTATGTAATTACCGCCCCCTGGTGGTGGCACTAGGGAACTGTAGTAGGTCAGTTGATGGGTGAGAGACAGACACCACCTCACCTCTATCCCCAATGTCTCATCATTGTTGTATTGGTGTTCTAAAAGCACAACAAAGAAACCATTTATTGGCTTAGGGCCTACTTTCTAAAGGCTGTAATCTCAGAGGTAATAACCTAGAGATTTTTAAGATTGTCATTCCTTTGCTCATTCTAATCAGTGAATGCATTTATTAAATAGTTTTGGCAAACGTTAGCCTAACTTGGTCAAGAGTTTACGGCTTAAGGACAATTTAATTGGCTTATGTCTAATGTCTGATAATGATTTACGTACTCCAGCTAGTATAACAATAAAAAATAAATATGATTTCATAATTTCATCTCCCCATTTGTATGAACTTGTGAATGACAATCGTTTTTACAGCGATATGATTGGAACAGTAGCCCCTATGGAAGCAAATAAGTGCCATAATGTTTTGAATTTTAAAAGGCATTGAACACGTTATATCGTAATTTAAACAACACCGAATTCATTGCATTGTAATATTTTGTTTCGAAAACCATGCATCTGAATTCATTGGTTGTGAAATTACCACTTTGAAATTACAAAATGGTTTTTTTCAATGTAAGTAAAATGTGGATCCAAAAATTCAAGCTATATAAATTCAAAAAAGCTATATTCAGGTTGCTCAAATTCGATCACTGAAATTCGGATCCAAAATATTCGGTATAAAAAAATTTGAACAGTGAAATTCAGATCCAAAGATTCAAGTAAAAAAAATTCAGATAGCAATATCCGGGACACCGAGGATAGGATAAGCAATCGAGGAGGAATGCAATTGAACCAACGTCCAACTGCAGACAAAAACATGGTGGCGCAACCCGGGCATACCGGTTGGTAGAAATACTAAGCACTATTGTTATATGATATATAGCCTAGTCTAGATCCTCTCTCTGTCACGCAAAGCTTACTCAATCGTCAGGTTTCCATAGCCACAGATGCTCCTGTAGTTTCCCTGGAAGGGGTCCCACACCTTCAGTCTGTCAGAGCAATGGGGAAAACGGCAATGACGAGAAGGTGGAAGTATTTTCACATCTTCACATTCAAAGCTGAGTGCAGAAATCACTATTTGATTGTTAATGCCAGCAAAAAGCTAATGCAGCCCAATGCTAGCACGATTAGCATCATGATCATGTCAGACAACAGTGTTTATTTTAAAGACTGACGGCAGGGCTCGATGAACCTAAAACCCTCCCTTTATTGCTCAGCCATAGGTTGATAACATTGTAATATATTGCTCATATGCACTATATATATAACTAAAGAAAAACACATCCCCAAGATTTGAAATGTAAGAATAACCTCCATTATTTTAGTAAATCATAAGCAGCACAAGTCATCCAATGAACACAGCTTAGTATGTGTATGGCGAAAGAATTCTAAGGATCTAAAGAGAACCTGCTTGTTTTGCTGTTAAAAGTGAAAACTTGTACAATTCTGACCGTTTGAAGTAAGTTGACCGTGTTCGATGTTTAATCTCAACTGTTCAGCAGCATTGTAGGGAATAACAGGCCTTTGTCCTCATTGGGACCAAATCCACCCAAACCAAACATGACACTTTCTCCACTTCAGTCTCACCCTCCCCTCTGGTTAAGAGTCTGGGTGTCATCCTCGACAGCACACAAAACTCACATCAGTGATGTCATTCGGTCTGCTTATTTTCATCTTCGTAACATCCCCCGCCTCCGCCCCCCCTCACGGCGAACAGCACCTCCATCCTTGTTCACACCCTGGTCACTCCACACATCCACTACTGCCACTCTCTTCTCTGTGGTCTCCCTCTCAAGTCCATCCACAAACTTCAACTGGTCCAGAACTCTGCTGCCTGCATCATCACCAGAACCCTGACACCTCACCTTTAAGGCTATCCACAGCCTCCCTCCTCCGTACCGCTCCGACTTCCTGAACATCAACACACCCACCCGCACTCTTAGGTCTTCTTCTTCTTTCGTGTAACGTCAGAGGTCCAACTCGGTGTCGTGTAGCCATGCCCGCATCTCTGGTCCTACGTCGAAGAGGCTGGCTTCCGAGGGTGGTCTATATAAAGGGCAGGTGGTTATTATATGTTCGGCAGTCTGTTCAGGGTCACCGCACTCGCATGCAGCACTGTCTGCCAGGCCCCACTTCTTCATCGATGTTTTGAAGCGACCGACCCCAGTTCGTAGACGGTTTAGTGTGGTCCATTGCTGGCGTGGTAGGTCTTCTAATATTGACTCTCTCCATTTTGAAATCACATCTCAAAACGTATCTCTTCACACTGGCATATCCGCCATGATCACTACTCATCACACATCCTCTGTTTTTATTGATTATACTGTCTTGTTTTTCTGCTGGTGTTTTGTGTTTGCTTTGTGTTTTTGTGTCTTGTGTGGTGACCTTGAAAGCCTTGAAACGCGCCTATATAAATAAAATGCACTATTATGATTATTATTATGTCACTTATGAAAGATGAACACATGTACCTGCTGCTTCCTGCAGCCCCAAAGACAACTCTGTCTGCGTTGTCTGTTATAACTACGCAGCAAACTCCAGCCTCATTCCTTAGTCTGTTCATCACCTAAAATCATTTGTACAAAGCATAACCTTTGGTCAATATGAGATCAAATCATCCAGAAGATAAAACAGAAACCTTAAGAGCACAGTCCTAATGGGAGCAAAGCGCCCACCGTTCCTCTGTGCAGGTCCCACAGGCAGAGGTGGGGGCCCCTCTGCTCCTGGGTGTAGCTGCTGGTCACCAGGTGGCTGCCTGTGGAGGTGAGGGCAGAGAGGTCTCATCCTCCAGGGTGTGGAGGTGTTCCTGAGAAGCCATGCTGAACACATTGAGGTGGTGAGCAAAATAGGAGCACACCACCACCTGCAGAACAAAGGTGTGGAATGTCAGTTATTCAGCAACTACTGAAACATTTCATGAAACTTCATGCAATGAAGACAATAATCCTAAAGTGTTTATACAGCAATATGATTCTGCCAGCAATGCTGCCAATATTATAAAAATGAATAAGACCTCAAACTACTTAACGTGTTGTCATAGTTGGAACACGATTGCACTTTATTTCCCTCAAAAAACACAAAGCTATTCCTTGTCAATGAAATGTGGATTTGGTGTGTGTTTCTGCCGTTGTACTGCGCATTGCTCGTTTACTGTGTACCTGTTCATCTCCACTGAGGAGGTATTAGTCTATAGAGTTGTACTACTCTACCTCCAGCCTCTTTCTCTCTCAGTTTCTCTCTCTCCATTCTCCTCTTCATCGCAGACTTGCTCTCTGTTCGAATGTCCCAAGGCATTACTATGGCAAGAAAATCAGCTATAAGGAACTTCAGGGCAAACCAGACATGTGCTAACATCCAGTCAGATATTATCTAAACTTTCATCATATAACGTTTCTTTATAGCAAAATGAATGAAAGGGACCACATTGTGCTTTTTTTGGTTTTCCCTTTTCCTGTAGTGTGGCTACATTCAGGTGGTTATGTATCTGTGTGTTGCACTTTCCCCCTCAATATAACAACAGAATATACTAATACACTCATTTTAGGATAACCCTCCAAAGTGAGGAACCATCTTAATGGATTTACTTTTAGATAGCACCTTTATTGTCTTCTGCCTACTTAAAATGCTTTACACTACATGTCAACCTTCACCTTTTCACACAAATGATGATACATACACGTATGACTGGGGCTGTCACACAAGGGGAAAACTGCTCGTTATCTCAATCACACACATAGACTTTTAAAAACTGATGGCTGTGTCAGGAGCAATTTGGGGTTCATTACCTTGCCATAGAACATATCAACATGTAAACTCCTTCGGTTATAATAATTATAATAATTTTTGTATAATGCAATTCATACAGGAGATGGTTTGTAATGCTGAAATACAAATTTAACAAACACCTAAATAGCAGAACCAAACCCCACATTTTTTATATCTCTTTTCAATTTGGTACTATTTTCTCGTCAACCGTCCTAGACTAATAAAGGTACTCATTTTCTGTAAAGTGGTTTGCATCAGCTAAACACACACAGCGAAAAGCACATTTTAAGAGTCAGATCATCATGGAGAAAAGGATGAGGACAGGTCTGTGTTGGATAGCGGAAGGACCAGCTGGCTCACATGTTGTCTCTCGGTGTGTTTCCACATCAGGCTGCAGGTCTGGAGCCTTGCTGCTGCACAGAAGCGGCTCTCTGTGGGGGGGTTTGATCTCATGTTTGATGGAGCCAGAGTCCAGATCCCAAAGGATCAGATGAGCTCTGCAACAACATCCAGCAGACAGATATCACAGTAGGGTTCTGCTGAAATTGCTTTTGTGAAGGTCGATATGGTAGAACACATGATGACAGTGAGAATAACTTTATCAACAAGTTTGAAATGTTGTTTTGTTAAATTGTGTTCAACTGATGTGAACGTAACATGCATTTTGACTAAATCTATGCGAAGAATAAATGTATGTAGGGTTCTGAAGTACGGTCATCATCATCATCATCATCATCAACAACCTCATGTCACACATATAAGCCATCGATTGATATGGAGATTAGTTTTAATCTCTCTAATATTAGGTGTTACTAATATCCCACTGTAAAAATACTCAATTTCAAGTAAAGGTATTGCTTCAAGAATGGTACAAAATTGCTGCA